AAGGACATTACTAAATGAGTCCCATTGCAAACAGCGGGTACTGGCAAATCTGTGACTCTCTGCTGTCACTTACAGCTGGCCTCCTGAGGTGAGGGGCGCTCAGCTCATCCTATGCAGCAGTGCCCAGCTGGCGTGTGAGGAATGCAGAGTGGTTGTATTTGTTTGGGAATAACAAGCTGAAAAAAGTCCTGCAGTTGCCTGTTCTCGCTATCTCATTACAAGCAAATACTGATTGCTGTTTTCTCAGACAGCTTGTGAGAATCACAATGGCAAAGTGTGTGTCTGAATAGCTGCAATGCAGCACGGCATTCTGCAGTCCACATTGTCACTGTCACTCACAGTGGGCAGCTAACCACTCAGAACTTCCTCAGTGATGGGGGGTTTATATGCCTGCTATCAAACTGTTGAAGTCATGCTCATTTTTCATTAAGAAGCTGGAAAAGATAAAAAGCAGCCGATGTCCAGATTAACATTTCCAAATTCAAAATAGAGGATCCCTTTATAAAAGAAGTTGAACGAGGAAGTGTCTGTGCTCCTTATGCAGCCAATTATATCATAACTTTTCTTTTGCAGGTTTTTAAAGCTGGCTATAAACGATCGAATTTTGACTTGGCTGAAATACATCCAGTATATGGCCCACCCGGCCCGACAACGGTCAATTATATATTCAACTTTTGTCCAAGGAGCCGGGTGCAAAATTGTCGGTGCAATAACGACTACAGTCAACCAGTGGCGTAAGCCAGCTGTCAGAATACGACAGTCTGGTGGGGGAGATTTGTGCACATGGCCGCTTTAAGAAATCAGTGTGCCTAGGGCAAATATCTAATAGGCAGGCCTCCCTATTTCATTGGGTAGATGGAATTTGAGAGGGAGCATTTGTATTAGTTTTGCATAGAGTAGGTTAGGCTTAACACCCCTGTTGATCTTTTTTGCCATCATCGTCCCATTGGGGAGCTTTCCCTTGACTTCCTGTCCTGTAGACATAACAGGAACTGAAGCAATGCCTCTTGGCAGGTATGGTAACCCATTTCTAATTAAAAATAATAAAAAAAGTTTTTGGCTTCAGTTAAACTCTAAGGCTCCGACAGTGATAAGCGGACCTTGCTGTGCTGCCAATCTGACTAATCTAGCTCTGCAATCCAGTTCACGGGATGGATTATTTGTATAATTCCCAGCATAGAAGTGAATCGGGGTCATTTGGACCCCTTGGCAGTCCATTTTCACTTCCTGTGCTTTGGAACCCTTGTTCACCCCTATCTACTTTTAGTCAACGAGTGACTAGCCCCCCAGATGACTGCTGATCTGACGCCTAGTGGAGTAATTATATAGAAGCAGTAGGAGAGGTGGAGGAAGCACAGATTTGCAGAATGAATTAGCAGGGAGATCCTTGCACCGCAGGTCCTCATGTACAGCTTCCTCTCCAACAACAGTGAGCAGCACAGCGGTAATATTACCAAATCTCATTTCATATCTCCTGAGACTAACAGTCTGTGGCAGCAGTGCCCTAGATGATCTCACACTGCAGATATAAATCTGTTAGGCTCAAGGAAGCACACTGCTATTTTAAAGGAATTCAAGATAAAGGTACCCCACAGCTCTCACTGATTCCTCTTTATAACCACATATGTCTGCAGGTCAGAGTCGTGACCTGACTTCAGAGGGAGTAACCAGTGAGAGCAGCAGGAGACTCAGGAGATCAATCCTCCCGGAAGTGGCAGTTTCCCAGATGACTTTGGTGGACCAGTTCTAGCATACGCTTAGAGTGGGGCTTGATGGCTGACTATTTACCCCCTTAAATTTTCAGTTAACAAGCATACAAAAATTGTAACATGGTCACTTTAAGAACCAATATAGCAATAGCTCCAATAATTGCATCTCCACAGGTTTGCTTCTATATCAGATAATAGCTTCTTTTTTTTTTTGGTTTTGGAAGATCCAGTTGTCTGCAATATATTAGAAGCAATCAGGCAATTGGAATATTTCCTATTGCTCCCTGCAGATTTCCGTATCAACCAGCAAAACATCACTTTATGCTCCATTTCCCTTAAAATGAAGATTTCACATGTGATAGTTCTGCGGTTTGTCTGAGTGATCATACTGAAATAATGAGCCTTGCTAAAAATACTCTTTGCATCTCATTAGCTGCGGAATGGTTCTATTTTTACAAACCGAGTCGTTTTAATGGTTTTGTTCTTCCTCCTGTGTGTCCACTCCGGCTGCCTCCCTGGCTCATTATATCTGCATTTGTAGAAAATAATTTCCGAAGCCCAAAATTCCCCCGGAACGCCCTCACCTCTCTACAAATAATGAATCGCTGCCTTCTTATAACTTTTTTTTTTTTTTGGTAAACTTTGTTTTTCTTTCTCCACTTTATTTGACACTTGTCAGAATAATAATAATAAACGGTGTTGACATTTTACATCTCAGGAAAACTGTAAGAATCCGTATTATGCAGCCGATAGATCGCTAATGGCTCGCTCAGAAAGATGAAAATACAACTGCGAGAGGATTTAAGCGAGTCCAAAAATGAGTCATTCTTTCCTCGCTCTGCTCCACTTTGTATGCTTGATCATCTGTTTTATTTTCACATACAGTAGTGAAGCAGGCAGCCAAATCCTGATATGAATTTGGAGATAGAGGTGTATAGGTGGAACACTGTACATGAGCCAGAGTGGAATCTTAATGAATGATTCCAAGTATCTAAAACGCTTATGAAATGATTTTGTTTTATTCATATAGTCAGCGTTTCTAAAACTTTTTTAGTCACTTCACTCTTTAAAAGTATGCAAAATCTCGAGGCACCCCAATTTAAAATGTCAAAAGGGGGGCCACACATAAAAAAGTGGGTTTCCCCTTTCACAATGAAGTGCCCCCTATAAATTAAAATTACCCCCTCACATCAGCATCACGCTTTCCATCAGTAGCCCCCCTTCAACAGTAGCCCCCTTGCACATCAGAAGGCCCCCTTTCATATCAGAGCCCCCCCCCCCCTTTCACATCAGTGTTTCCCATTTACATCAGGAACCCCTTCACATTAGTCTTCCCCCCTTCACATAACAGTCCCAATACCACAACATTTTGAGGCACCCCTGAGGATGCGAGGAGGCCCACCAATGTGCCACGGCACCGTGGTTGAGAAAGATTGGTCTCAGTACCTGGAATATATCTTTATATTCCTTCACTACATTTCCCCTGAAGTGCAAGGGCTGGAGGAAGAGGTACTTAGGCTAGTTTACAAGAGGGGCTTTGGTGGGTAGGTGTCAACAGTGTGCAGATCTTCAAGTGTACAGCTGACCAAATTGAATTACAATCATATTATACAATATCCCTTAGTTAGTTCCCTTCTGCCCTGTGGCTGAAGTGCCACAAGCAGTCTTTGGTACTTGTTATGCGGCTCTTGGGCCTCAGCAGTCTACATTGAGAGTTGGAACATTGATTTGTATAGGAATAATAGCAGTGAGCTCTGCTGGCCTAATGTAAGTTGTACCCAATCACTTATTGTCTTCTGCACCATGTCTCCAGTCTCCAACCAGACCTGTAGCATGTTCTGATCATCAGTTAGTCTAGTATGTCTTCAGTGTCTGATAGTCATCTCCAGCATTTCATATACTAAACATACACTTGGTTTAGTACAACCGCACTTGAGGTCCCCCCATACCTCATAAGATGGGGACCAATGCTTTAGATCTACCAAAAACTATGTAGGGCAAGGACCTTCTTGACTGGAAACAAGTTGAATGAGTTATTTAGAGGGGTCCTCAGATTGCATTACTAAATTTTGATAAATCTAAAGGAGAGCATACAAACATTGTAACATGTACAGCCAATAAAGAGAACCTGTAAAGTACAGAAAATCTGCTGCACTACAATGATATTCATTTCTAATTATATATGTGAAATACACCTGTTCTGTTATGTCCTGAATAAGTAGACCACTGGTCCACAAACCATGTAGCATTTAAATTAAAGCCCTCTCAGTTCGTTTTGTTTACGAATTATATTTTGGATAATGTTATGGGAAACCTATGACCAATGAAAAGCTTGTTGAATATGATGATATTATAATCTTAAGACCTGGTAGGAATTAATATGGTAAAGGCTAGGATGAGTTGTCTTATGGATTGAATAGATGTATGTACCATAACCTAATTACTTTCTCTCTCTCTCTCTTTCGCACACACACACTCTCTCTCTCTCTTTCTCTCTCTTACTTTTTGGAATAAATTTTTTTTCTTGGAATGTTGATACAGAGCAAAAACTTCTCCACATAAAGGGTTAATATACTACACATAACTATTGTTCTATATTGTGAAAACTTTGTCGACATTTCATGGCCTCACGCGGTCCCTCCCTCAAGGCAGCTTAGTGTCACTATATTGCCTTAAGGAAGCGACCTTGCAAGGCCACTATATGTTGGCTAATTTCCTGTGACAACTTTCACAGTAAAACTGTAAAAGGAATATCAATGTATGAAAGGATTGCTGGAGACCTTCCACATTTTAATGTATTTAACATGGGACCATCCACTGTAATCTCCACTGTTGACCCATTTGCAATCTCCACTGTTCTGGTGCTGTATGGAGTGCATCTTATACATGTCAGGAGAAAAGGGGGAGCTATACGGAAAAGTCAAATATTTTCAGGTACCCACATGCATACAAATATATCCACATGAATTATGTAGCAGCTGAACCTGTCACCTTATTGTAAGTGAGGAAAGTGACAGATTCTCTTTAAAGGTAAAGTCCACCTTTACAAAAAATGTGACCATGAACAGTGGATCAGTTACAGGGACAGGAGGAAGTGTCAATGAACTGCAGCGGTGACGTCACCGCACTTGTAACCCATTAAGAAGAAGTCACTCTGCAGCGGTTTACAGGAGTCTGGAAAGAGAAGGACCCTACAACATGAAACACGGTATGAAAAGTAAACTTAGCCTTTAATTGAGTCTCATGGGTTAATTGTAAATGTCATTGTTCTTTTGGCATTTGTCTTTATAGAATGGTCAATGTGGAGAAGGACTGAAGTCTCGTAACCTCACATGTGTAGTACACGATGGTTCCACCTCCGGTGCAGAAAAGCAAGTAGACCACAAATTCTGCGGCCTGTTACCCGGACAGGAAAGTCCACTCACGCTGCCCTGCTACGTACCATGTCCAGGTAGATAAATGTTCTTACATTTATTGCTGCTCTCTTGATACGTGTAGGGGAAAAAGTTGGAACATTAATAGAAGTGGGAACATCTTGAAAGGTCACTTGGCAAGTTTAGTTACCCAACAACCTCATGGGCTCAGTTTCTGCTCTTCAGTTCCTGGCACCACTCATTATATATGGCTCACACTCTTCTTTGTTTTACTTCATCAACTAAGAAGTACTAAGGCGAATTCTTCAGCAGTAGCACAGCCACAAACTCCTGTGTGGAGATTTCCTCAATGATGTCCCCAAGCGGCCAGCTTGTGATTCTGCTTACCAGAATTCCTGAACTATCAATTTTGGATGGACCAACTTTTTTAATTAATTTTTTGGTTTGTGACTTTCAGCTATATCTGTAGATTTATTCAATTCCCTCTTCCATCTCCAGGCACAAATATGCGTATAAATATATTACTTAATATCCATAAAGGATATAAATCAATTATGTGTGCACCATATGCCTTTGCTAACCATTTATTACAACATAACAAGTAGCAGTGACATCATCATCTGTGCTGTACATAGCCTTGGCAGAGAGCAGAGCTGTGGGAGGGACCCAGCAGGCCACACCCACTGCTGGAAACTACAAGAGGGGTTGAAGACAAGACCAGTCACAGCCAGGTCTTCTCAGCCAGGTCTTGGTCCAACATCACTACCAAATGTCACAAATATTATTTTGGCTGAATGTGCACTAATTCCCACAGATGCACCCCCAAATCATGTGGCAAGTCTTACAGGTGTCCTTTAATATTTGACTGTATAGCGTACAATCAAAATAATCATAATTCTGGGAAGTCTTTGCTTCAGGTCTTGTCCATTGACCTCAATTGTCAGCAAGAGGGGATAGTACCTTAAATCTACACTAATATTCTTAAACCTGTATGTTCAAATATTTGTGGTTCTAGGTGATTGTCATCTCGCGGAATGGTCCCATTGGAGCTCCTGTGAGGTCACGTGCATCGATGGGCGCAGTTTTGAAACAGTCGGACTCCAGACGCGGTCGAAAACTTTCATTGTGCAATCTCTAGAGAATCAGGAGGATTGTCCAAAGCCAGTGATGGAGACCAGACCCTGTACAGGTTAATACATCCCATACCTATTGTTTTATTGTTTTTTTGTAAAGGGGGCTAGGTGTAAAATGCAAGTTACAATAAGGAGTTAAAGTATATATTGTAAACCCAATCACAGAAATCTCATAATATGTTAACATGCAAAATGTAATTATAAAGGTTTCCCATACATTTAAATCAGCAACTTTCATTAAAAAAATACTGCCTCATCTTGCCACGAAGTGTCTCGTTCAGTCACTTCCGGTGACACCACTCTGCCCCTTTCTCCCAGTTGTGCTTTTGTGTTCTCATCCTTTCACATACATGTGACACGGGCCTCTGACGGTGACTTCAAGTGACCCTTTTAACACACATTGCAAGGCATGGTCCACAATAAATACAGAATGCAAACCCAAGCTTTATCCATGCAAGCCAAAGCAACAGGTTCTCTTTTATGTCCCCACCCCTAGGAGCACATACTTTCCATTTGCTCCTTTCAGCCACACCTGTACTTCCGGGTATGAAGCATTAGGGGGCATGTGACTCTTTCACCTTCCTTCTCATGTGATAGTGCTGGTGCCCACCCTTTGTTAGAGAACCAACAGCACCAAGCAACACAGTCAAATATATTGATTTTGAATGCTCTTTCTATATTACAAAACCTGCAGTTGCATTCAAATCTGGACGCTGGACATTAAATCATTATTAAAATATATTCCTCAAGGACCACAAATTATATAAATGCATTTTGTTTGCACCTAATGCATTTGAAAACTCAAATATTACCGTATAACAGTAGCAGTGACACTGCTGTACATAGCCTGTGCAGAGAGCAGAGCTGTGGGAGGGACCCAGTAGGCCCCACCCACTACATCCTGCCTGCAGAAAACTACAGGAGGGGGCGAAGACAAGACCAGTCACCCTGCACAAGGACAGAGAGCAGCAGTCACCGGTCTTTATTACAGGAGGGGGCAGAGACAAGACCAGTCACCCTGCACAAGGACAGAGAGCAGCAGTCACCGGTCTTTATTACAGGAAGCTCCAAGTCTCACACTGCATTACTGCACAGATCTTGAAGAAATACACAAAGCTCCCCAAGATTCATGTAACAATACACACGGCTCTTGTATTTAGAAATTATTTGCTTATCTTGAAGTTCAGTATTGAAAGCACTCCGCTTTATTTGAAAAGCTGTTTACAAATTGCTTTAAAAAGTGCCTTTGTAATCATCAAATATCAAATATGCCAAAATCTCTTCTAAATATACTGTAGATGTTGGCATGTTTAAAATAAACCTTTTCATGTCTTCCAAATTGCTTTACAAAGCGTGTGAATACAGAAGCTTTACCAAGAACATAATACATAAATGCTTGAAAGACGAGGAACGAGAACCTTGTCCATCCATAAAAGGAGAGCATTAGATACAAGAGGTAATGTAGATTAGGTGACAGTCATGGTGTTATGATGGCAGACCATGAAGCAAACTTGGTGAGAGACAGGTGGTGTATGTCAAGATGAAATACCTTTCTACAAAGATGAAGATCTAGTAGGTGTGTGGTAGCTCTGGACCAATACAGGTTAGAGCTTCAAGTTTCAAAGGTTAATTCTCCTTTAGCGAGGTTGGTCTACAATGATGGCACACAATTGGTGTGGTCTTAGACGGTGAATGATTGCGGTCCTATTTCAGTGAACAAGCCACTCAACAGATGATCTGTTATTGGGCATGAAGTTAGGCCACCTGGTACAAATGGTCAGATAGCTTGATATTAGTATGAATTGTTTATTTCATAAAATACAGGCAGCCACTTTTATCTCTACGCGGAGATGCTAAAACACCCGAACTACGGCTGAGAGCTGTGGCTCTCCTACAGTGAAGAAATCATTCATTCACCTTCCCTTTCCTCTCCCCTTGTCCATTCACAAAACACATTGTTGGTTGTATTTTATGCAATAAACAATTCAGATCAATCAAGCTTTCTGGCCATTTGTACCAGCCACTTTGATCTCTATGTGGAGATGCTGAAACAGCCAAACTTCCGGCGCTACGGGTGTGAGCTGTGGCTCTCAAATAGTGAATCAATCCTGTCATTCACCTTGCCTTTCTTCTCCCCTTGTCTATTCACAAAATATTTTGTATTCTGAAAAGAATACAGATCATTTTCTGAATGAACAAGAAGAGATGAAGGGGAGGGTAAATTACAGGATCCCTTCATTGTATGAGACCGCAGTGCCAGATGTTCAGCCTTGATCGTAGTTCAGCCTCATTCATTGCCCCAGGTGGCCAGGAGAAGGGGAGAACAGTGGGTTAATGCGACCGGCTAAGCCGTCAGCCAGGTGGGAGGTGGCGGGCGGCCGAGCTGTCTGCAGGGTGTACTGTTAGTCGCCCCAAACAACCCCCCCCCCACACACCTGCCGCCCCTCCAATGAGATGCTGCCTGAGGCTACCGCCACAGACTGCCTCATTATGAGGACTCCCTTGGATGTTTACTTTACACAGTAGACACCTGGGATAACCGTCATTAGAGGTAACTAATTTGTGCACAATGAAAGTTAAATAAAAATAAAGCTGTCAGTTAGCAGCGGGGCTACCTACCCTCACACTGCAAGGGTTGACTATTTGTCTTTCTAAAGAAATAATACTCACCCGATCTTTGGCTGCTAGACCGGTCCCTACAGCCTCTTCCCCCCTTCACTCCAGCAGTTTTAAGGACCACTAACTTCATCAGGTCTTATGCAGGTTACATAGATTTGCCACATGCACATGAGGATGCCAAGGGACATTCCACCAGCCGGAGTGGAGAGGAAGATGAGTGCTGATTGCCAGGGATCAGGTAAGTAAAAACGCATAAATGAGCACTTAACTCTTGCAGTGTGTGGGTAACCACAAGGTAGTTCTTTGTTTTGCCCAGAGATGAACATTAAAGTGACATTAAACCCTCAGATGTTTTACCATAAACCAATACTGTAATGTGCGCCTTACTGTAATCCATGGTAGTTTCCCTTCTCTTTGCTGCTCTTCCTTTTAAATCATCATGTCTTCTCATGCTTGGGGAGAACTTCCCTTTGCAGCTGAGTGCCCCTTCCTGTAGTGCTGGCTCAGGTTGCAAACCTACACACAGACACCATGGGGGTGATTTACTAACCTAAACACACGCACGCACTAGGTGCGTGTGATTTTTACACAGCAAAACGTATTTATCAACCAAAAAGTCTCTAAAAGCATATTTCCACTAATGCCATATATGGAAAAATCATGCACATGATGCATATATAATGCTGCTTCACAGTTTAGACAAAAATGGTTAGCTCATGCATTTACATTCCTGCATTCATCAACGCAAGCAACACAATGTAGAGCTAATTTACACAACATCACCATGCAATTCATGCAGGGCTTTGCACAACACACCTGCTGGGTGTGTACACTCTACAAAGGTGTTTAGATTCCACCAATAGATCATGCTGGGAGGGAACACACTACAGAGGTGTATACTTGTTCGTGGCGTGTATATAAGGTTAGTAAATCAATCCCTGTGTATCCATTCCAGAGACAAGGCAGTCTGCTGCAAAACAGAAGTTCTGCCCAGCATGAGAACAGATACAGATTTAAAAGGAAGAGCAGCAAAGAGAAGGGAAACAACCATGGATTACAGTAAGGC